TGATGCTGAGCCTAAAGGGGGTCTGGAGGGGTTGTGGCAAGGGCATGGTTTTCAGGACGCAATGTGGTCCTCCCACGAGGAAGTAATTCTGGGTCGTGGTACAGACTCCGTTAGGTAGTCAAGCTCTCGACTTGTTTCATGTCTTAATGAGCCTGGTGGAGAAGGGGTGAGTCCTGCTGTTTCAGCTACACTGGCTTCCAATGAAGCTAAAAGCAGGAAGGACCAAAGTGTGATCTACTGGAATAGCAAGGGGTCAAGACAGCACTGAATTCTGTAGGTCCTTTTGTGAAGCAAATGCCATATAAGAACGAGACAAGTGTACCTCGCCTGAGAACAGCTACACAGAGTACATATAATAAATGAGTCTTCTTTCTCCTCTCAACACCACAGTGAATAGATGGATGTCTGCCACCCTTTATGCTCCTGTACTTGTCAGGGACTCCCAGGTCCTAACTGGAGGGTCCAAGTTTTGGGTCCCACGTTTTCTTCCTTAGCATAGTGTGACTGTAGAGGTATGTGGTCAAACTGGACCCCAAAGGTTATCTAGGCATAACTTATCAGCAGTGTCTTGGTTATGTAAAGGGGCTAGTTCCTGAGAAATGTTGCAATTCATGTGGATAGCTCGATTTTTTTAAAAAAGTAAAATCTTAAACATCAGACCTTTTCCTTTCGAGGAATACTGTTTGGTTTGAGTGGAAACTAAACTAACTGAACATTGTATTATCAACTGTGAGTTGGAGGTCAGGGAGGCACATTTTTGAGGGTCCCACAAACTGCCTGGTGCAGGCCCATCGCACAGTGGATCTTCAATAAATACATATGAATATCAGTGCTTGGGAACCATTGCTTTGGGTGCATGAAAATTGGGAACTTATTGGGAAAATGGTGCCTATGTAGTTTTTAGCTCCACTAAGTCCATATGCAGAATAAAAGATGACCTTCTATGTGTCCAATACAAAAAGTAGATCTTTATGTATCCACAGTAACTTGTAAAACTAGAAGAAAACACCTACGAACGTGGTTACTTTCCTATTGTGTAGGTTCAATTGGAAGGTAACGAAGCTAATAATGAGAACTTCATGGGTTAGAATGTTCTCAAGGTTTATGGATACTGCTGGTAGCTAAGTTTGGTTTTCTTTTAAATCCTAAAAATTCCTTAACAGTCTCCAAAATGTATGCTTAAAACTGGACCAGTGTGGCCTCTGGAACTGAGTAGAGGTTGAAAGCGTCATGGTAAGAAGGTATGTGATGTCTTTTAATGGTCTTGAGTCAGCACCCATGTCACTTTCTCAGGGGCCTTTCCTGGCCACCTCCAGCCAAAGTAGCCTTTTGTCCATTGTCCCATCACCCTGTCTTTTTTTCTGTAGCACTAACCAATCTGAATGTTTTCTGTTCTGTAGTCACTCAAAACTTACGGAAATCACTCAAATCTTTACATTCACTGTCCAAGTCCCACCCGTACTTCCGACTAAGGCCACAGTCTTAAGGTCCATCAGAGTTGCTGGGTAGGGGCACTGCTTTTACGTGCCTGTGGGGACGGAGCTACATAGGTAAAGGGTCCTAGAAGTGAATCACTGCTAAGCTAGACAGTGTGGTTATGGAAGAAACAGCTGAGGCAGTTCCCTTTCTTTGCTAAACCTGCCCCCACGAATACCCATCCCCCACGGTGTCCTGACTGTCCCAGGGACTTAAGTTTCAGCTATACGTGGAGCAACTTTGCTGTCTCTACGACCCAAGGAGCCAGGAAAGAACTGTGGTTTAGAAAACAGTTGAGTTACAGATGTGTGCATGGCTAAGCGGAGCCACTCCTCTGTGAAGTACCTCCATTTGAATTACCCGCTAGGGGCTGATCTGGGTTTGAGGACTGACCCTGGCATTATTTTTCAAGTATGGCAGAGTGTGCTTACCACTGTAAATTTTGCTAATGAGGGGAGTTATTGTCTTTCATCCTGGTAAAAATGGCAGAAACCAAGTTTTCTCCTCACTTCTATATAGAATTAACTTGAAGGAAACAAAACATATGGTCATCACTTGTCGAGTGTTCCAGGGGCAGTGGGCGTCCTGAGAGGCGAGGGCTCAATGTTAGCACCTCTTTTCCTGCCCCCCTCCCCAAGATCCTCCATGATCATAAGGCACAGTTTTATATCAACACTTACTAAAACTGCTTTCATCACATTGTCATCACATGAGAAGATTACGTGGACGAGACAGACTCACAGAGGGGAAGGGTGAAGGGGAGCCTGAGCAGTGCCCGGGCACTGTCAGCCCTGCTGTAAACCCCAGCAGCACTGCCCTTCCCACAGAAGGGTCCAACATGGCGGCCTGCAGCCGTGTGCGCAAGTGCTAAATGAAGTAAGGGTTTTCTCACAAATAACACGATGCACTCGAAAGGGTAACAGCTAAACTGGTGCTAGCTAGGGGTCAAGGCCTCTCGAACTCCCCAGAAGGCAGAGTGTGACCGGCACCCTCCGGGAGGGGTGTCCATGTGTGCACACGCAGGCACACAAGTCACCCCAAGTGCGACACCTGTAAAGTCTGGATGTTGTAACCACAATTGCCTAACATTTTTTCACTTTGATTTCTGTATGAAATTGTGACCTAGTGCTGAATTTTAGATCCAGATAAATCTGTTTAGGGAAGGTAGAGAAGGATACCAGAAGTTATCTTTCTAAACATCCTGACTTAGTTCCCTGCTCAGGTGAGACTTTATATATCAGTGACATGTACTGGTGACCACAGCGTGACTCTATTTAGATGTCCTCAGCAGTAACCCAAAAACATTACTGAGGATCAGAGGCCATTTCCAGTCAAACACAACACACACTTATGGCTGGGATGGCCAATGACGGGGCACCAATAATGATAAGAGTCTTTGGTTGCTTTTTCTTTTAAACCCATATTTTATCAATTGAAAGCACTAAAGCAGCAGAGAGAAAGAGAGAAGAGGGGATGGGACGGGAGGGAGTGGTTTCCCAAGAACTCCAGCAAGGATTTTGCTATTTGGTGGAGGACTGGTTATGATTATTGTACCCATCATGAAGGTTGATGTCCAGGTTGTGGGATGTGTACTACAATACTCTGAAGACTAAAAGGCTAGCTGTGGCCCTTGGCCTCTCCAGGTCCCTGTGGGGCCCCTTTAAGTACAGAGAAAGGTGCGTATTAGTGAGGAGGAGGCAGCCTCTTGAAGGAAGCCCGGTTTTACCCGCCTGTGCAGGCAACAACTTCCCAGTCAGAAATGTCTCCTGGAGGCCCACGGGGACCTGCTGAGGCCTTGACAGTTTCTGACTCCTTCCATCTGCCCAGCCTCAGAGGTGTGCCCCAGAGCTTGGGCTGAGACAGAATTCTCTATAAACTGCCTCTCTGGCTCTCTGCCCCCTTGAACTCTCTGAGTCTGCACTATGATTTATTTCTGACAGAATGAGTTTTTTCTCAAAGGAATTTAAGTTAAAGTTGTATGTTTCTGTGTATTAGTTTTTATGGCCTAATCAGAATATTAGATCAGCCAGCTCTTTCACCTCCAGCCCATGGTAAGCAGTGGCAGAGCTGTGAAAAGGCATCATCCTGAGGCATCTACACCTGCCCCGTAGGATTCAGAAAAGGACCGACTTGGGCCGAGCTCAGTGCTGGGCCCATAGATGCTAGGTGCATGATCTAGGGCCAAATGCAAATGAGGCAAGACAAAGATTTAGAGTGAATTTTCCGTTATCATCTGTTCCTTTTCAAGGCCTTCATGTGACATTAGGTCAGGGTTTGGCTGCGGTGGCAGGTGCCTCCACGCTGCTCTGTTCAGAGGAGCAGTGACTGTGAGCACACTGCTGCATTCCTGGCAGCCTTTCCGGCTATGAAACACACTGGGGACTGCACTACTATAGCCCAACCCCTGGAGTGTTCAACATTTTTTCCGTTGTTTCTGTGAAACGCTGTTTCAGGTTAGTTCGAAATGCAATTTACCCAGGAATAAACCCAATAAGGTCATTCTGATTCATGAAAATGTACAAAAGGTGACAGGTACAGGAACACATTGCTGCTCATATTCTGGAAATAGACTTATCTTTTGAAAGTAATGACATTCGGTTCCTTTTCATCAACTGCACACTGGGGTGAAATCATACAATTACTGCAGGGAACCGTAAGCGAGCAATTCGGTCATAGGAATTTGTTTCTTTGTTTTAAATGAAAACGCTGTATGAAATGCATAGCTTTGATTAAAACTACAGACACGAGTTCCTCCTCTGCAAGACTCCAGATTGAGAATGCTGGCGAAAGGCAGTGCTGGCAAGGTAGTTAATGCACGTGGAAATGCTATTCTATGTTGGCTTCCAGAAGTAGCCCTAAACAACTATGCACCAACGCGTTGGCTAGTGATGGTCATTTCAGTGGTACTATAAATTATTCTAAATGTTACATAAGTACTTAAGAATTCGTGCTTGCTCCTTTCTAGAAGCCATCTAAGGCAGCGGATGCGTAAAGCACCTCAACTAGACTTTCGACTAGTTCAGCAGTTCAGTCTGTGCTCCATAGGCCACAAGGGCTACCGTCTATATCCCTCACTGTACAGCTCACCCCTGGCCCAGGGAACTCTTCAAGTTCCCTCATGCCTGTAAAAGGCAGCCTGGGCCCAGGAGAGAAACGTGAGAAACAAGAGCATCAGGGACTGTTCACTGGAGCAATATGAATTCAAAGGATGGTCACGTGGGGGTGGGGGGACACAAAGACCTCACCCACCTCACGGAAAATAAATGAGGTTCATTCATGCTGCCAATTGTTCTGGGACTACCCCTTTCTATCCCCTCGGAAAGCACACTTTTGTCTGAGATGTGATCTACTGCTCTGCGGTTCAGTTTGCATTCATGCTACGTTAGCTTTCATCTCACTCATGTCGGCCTTCCTGTCGTTTGCTTACTGTGTTTCCTTAGTTTTCACTGAACACGCAGAGGCAAGGGCTGAAGCAATCATTTCAAAAACAAGAGCTCACACTACAAACACACATGAGCATCAAATATTAAAACGTGGGTTTTTGTCCTGTCTTTATTCTGGGGAGGAGGAGTCCTCCTCGTCATCTTCCTCGTCTTCGTCGTTGAACGAACAGGGGGTCTCGCCTCGGGACTCGGAGCAGTGAGAGGCCGCACTGCTGGACTGGTGACTGTTTGGGGCAAGGAGCTGCCCAGTTGCTAAGGCCACTTCAGCATCCAGGCATAACCCCTGGTTTACACTAGCAAACAATTAAAAACACACAGGCTCATTAATGTGGCGTATGTTTTAGGCTTTGTCAAACAGGGGTGAAAACTTGGGAAAGGAGGTGCCACTGGCGAGCTCTGCCACAATCTGCTCAGGACCTGTGCCGGCAGTGACACGCTGGCTCTCCCCTCCAGAGCGGGCCAGGGCTCGGGCTCCATGGTTTGCCCTTTCTAACCCTGACAAAATACGTACCTTGACTGGGACAAGGTGGCACCAGTGGTCAGGTCTAAATTTGAAACTGATTGGGTAGAGTTCAAAAGTAGTCCCTGGTTTAACCAAGAAGGTCCTGTGGAGATATCTACAGGAAAAAAACAAAAGCAGAAGATGTAGGCTCTGCAAGGTCTGTGGCTGCTGTTGTTACGGTGTGAGGAAGGCAGACAAGTAAGAACATACGCCTACTCTAAATTACAGCCAGACGAGTCTCCTGCCCTAGGAAAAGCCCAGGTTTCTTCAGCTTGGAAAAAAGATCTTTAGAGCATAAGAGCAGGAAAAAAAAAGAAAAGAAAAGAAATACAGGGAGGCAGACTACAGCGAGAAATAATTCAAATTAAAACCAACGACAGACTCAATTCTTTTTTTTTTTTTTCCAATAAGACCTCGAGAGAGCAGCTCACTGAGCAGTGATTGCTGCACCGCCCTGCACACCTGCTGTCCTCATCACAAAAGACTCAACTTCAGGCTGCGGTGTAACAGCCAAACCCAGGAGTGGGTAATGAGAAAGTCAAATCAGAAGTATCGTAGGTAAGAAGGACCGACACATTTTTGCCAAAGCCTCCAAATGCCCCTGATGAACTCAGTGCTATTAGTCATCAAAGATCTATTCTTTTCCCTGGTATCCTTTGCTTGTAACTCAAACTAGCCCTTATTTAAAAAGGTCATATGCAGTCATGTTTTTAATGACAGTGAGATACACATTACTGTTTCCATCTGCATGAAATATTTTGGGCATATCCTTTCAATCTTATTTTCTATGCATACATCATATTTCTCCCATCACAACACTGATCAACTTATTGTAATTTTACTTGTTTAATACTTGTCTCCTTATCTAGAATGTTAGCTCAAAGAAGGCAGTGACTGGGACATATAAAATCTAAATGTACAGTCTCTTTCAACAGTGAGTTTACAAAATAGTTGATATATATAGAAATACATTTTTTTTTTTAGCTGAGCCATCCTGCCACCTATTGGCAGCTCAGCTCAGGCCGGGACTTGAACCACTGTTGCTCAGAGCTCGCAGTCTTGAGCGAGCTCTTAACCAACTGAGCCACTCGGCCGGTCCCTAGAAATACATTCTTATTAAGAAATTCTTTGAGATACATTATAAGATTGAATGTACATTCAGAAAATGTAATTTGCCAAAATGAGCTTTTATTATATTTAATCAAAATAATTTCATAATTACTGTGCAAAAAAATAAAACTATGTGTATGGGCAATGGAAACTCTGCTATCCAGGCACTGCCTGACCATGTGAGGGGCTTCCTATGTTGGGAAAAAAGTTAACTCAATGACTACATTGATTTTAGAATGGCCTTGTGAACCTTTTTCGTCACAGGCTAACTAAGGCAGCTGTAAAAAAAAAAAAAAAAGACCTTCAATTCTAAGAAGAATAGCAGACTTTAAATACATTAAATAACAACTCTGTACGGATAAAATTAAAGCCAGAATCCTGTGCTGAATATTAATTAGCTATATGGAAACTTTCTGTCAGAGCACAGCTATTTACTTGTTTGTGAGCATAACACATTAAATCTTCTTTTTACAATGGCTCTGACAAGCCTACGGTTCTTTCACATTATCATAGGAACCACACAATGGTTCTCACAATCTTCCTCAAGAGGCCCTCTGTCCCTTCACACACGAAAGGCACACGTTTCTTCTTTAAAACTAACCAGAGTTTGTACCCACGCCTGCGAATGAGGTCATGAAGAGATAAAACCACAGAGCCTGCCTAATCGCCCTTAGCTTTGACAATGAGAATCAGCTAAAATAAGGTCCTGGTGATTTACTGAGTAAGCCCTTTATTTAGACCCTGCTGGACTGCCAGTAGGAATGGGCTGCTCCTAACACAGCAGGTCCTGCTCTGGGGAAGAGTGGGGAGAACGAGGCAGGTGTGTGGAGGGAAATCCCAAGACTGGCGGACGGGTAAGAAGATGGGGTCACATTTGCTGGAGGTGGATGGTGCCAATTTAAGAACGAAATCCAGGAGACACCAAATCTCAAATCAACAGATGTTTGTGTTGTGACCAAAGGGCTGAAACCATAAAGCAAATTAAAAACTACTTCTTTGCTTATATTTAATATACCTTAGAACTAATATTAAAATGCTTGTAAAAAGTGATGTGAAATTCTAGGTGGTAATACTTATAATACTTACAATGAAGGAAATTGCCAAAAGCAAAGGCAGAAGTATTGTTCATACATCTAAATTATATGTGCAGAATATACCAGTCTTAGGAAATAGGACAATCATAAAGAAGGTTTCTGAATAAGTGAAAAAAAAATCTGAATTACAGAACATGCAAAACATGTGCTTCTGTTTTTAAGTATATTTGATATACACTTTTAATTCATAATAAAAAGATAAGGAACCCAATTTTAAAATGGGCAAAGGATCTGAATAGCTATTTCTCCAAGGAAAATATACAAATGGCCAATAAGCACATGAAAAAATACTCAACATCATTAGTCATTAGGGAAATGCAAATCAAAACCACAGTGAAATATCACCTCACATCCACTAGGATGGCAATAATAAAAAAGATGGACAATAACAATGTTGGGAAATTGGAACCCTCATATATTGCTGGTAGGATTATAAAATGGTACAACTGCTTTGGAAAATAATTTGGCAGTTGCTCAAATTATTAGTTACCATATATATGACCCAGCAATTTTACTGTTGGGTATACACCCAACAGAACTGTAAATACAGTTCACACAAAAACCTGTACAAGAATGTTTATAAGTAGCATCATAATAGCCTAAAAGTGGAAACAATCCAAATGTCCTCCAACTAATGATTGCTTAAACAAAATGTGGTGTATCCATACAATGGCAATAGAAAGGGATGAAGTACTGACATGTTACAGCAATGGATGAACCTTGAAAACATTATTCTATGTAAAAGAAGTCAGTCACAAAGGCCACATATTGTAGGATTTCATTTTATGAAGTGTCCAGAATGAATAAATCCATAGTGACCCAAAATAGATTCGTGGTTGCCAGGAGCTGGGAGGAATGGGGTGGGGGTGGGGGTAAGGAATGATTGCTAATGTGTATGAGATTTCTTTTTGGGATAAAAATATGTTTTAGAATTAGTGGTGATGACTGCACAACCTTGTGACTATACTAAAAACCACTGAACTGTACACTTTAAAATTGTGTATTTTATGATATATGAGTTAAATCTCAATTTAGAAAACTTACAACGACACCATTTCACATCTACCTGATTGGGAAAATAGAATCTGCAGGTGAGAGTGTAACTTGGTAGAAGCAAAATGGTCACTAGGATACAATTACAGCAGTGTTCAAAGTAGCACTGTTTTTTTAAATATCAAAAAATTGGAAACAAAACTAAAGGTTTACATTAGTAAAATGAACAAATAAATTGCGATATGTTCACATAATGGAATTCTATACAGCAGTAAAAATGCATGAATTACAGCTCTATTAAATCATGTGGGCAAATGTAAGAATGTGATGCTTTGTGGAACAAAACCAAATCACCAAAACACATCACTGCGTTTCCATTTATAATGAAGGTGAAGGTAGCAAAACTAAATAATACATTGTTTCCAGTTTACAATGTTTGTGTTTGTATCTCTAAATAAAAGCGAGTGATGGTAGGTAAACAAGAAACTCAAGAGAGTGGTTACATTTAAAGTAGGGAAGGGCACAGAATTGAGGGCAGGCATCCGCTGGACCTGAACTAATTTTCCATAAGAAAGGGAGAAAGGTTTTCCACAAGTTAGGGTTTGCTATTTATCAGCTGCAACATGTGAAAGCATTAGTCAACATACCTGTGATATAACCTTCTAAAGCCTTTGGCACCAGTGATTTAGCAAGTTTCAGATCCTCCAAGGAGCATTTGCCTGACTCCAGGCCAAAGGACATTCCCATCCGCTTCAGTACTTCGATGTCATCATGGATCTCGAAGGTGTTGTCAAAATTAAAAAGATATTCAAACCTGCATCAGGAAACAAAGTTACTTTAGGGTTTTCCATGGTGCTGGGGAGGTCTGAACAGTTTGTACTCTATATTCACATACAAGAATGAGGACCTGGGCTGGCTGAGTGGCTTGTTGGCTAGGAGTTAGCTTGGGAGCGTGAGCTCTGAGCAGCAGAGCCGCCGGTTCAGACCCCACATGGGCCAGTGATGCTGCGCCCTCTACAGCTAAGATGGTGAACAACAGCTCGACCTGGAGCGGGGCTGCCGTGAGTCGCCAGCGATGGTGTAGGCTGCAGTGGGGCTGCAGTGGGTTGCCATAAGCTATGTGAGTGGCTGGCAGGCAGTGTGAGCTGCCGTGAGCCGCTGCGAGCTGGCTGTCCAATGGCTGGTGACTGATCTGCCTCAGCCAGGAAGAGCGCAATGATAATACCAACATGGGCCAGTGAAGCGACGTCCTCCACAACTAGACTGAAGAACAAAAGGATAGCAGCTTGTCTGTTCCCCTTCCCCCAATTCCCCAATAAAATCTTAAAAAAAAAAAAAAAAAAAGAACGAGGACCTGAGTTCAGCTACAGTATTAGAAACTGTTACTGTTTAGAGCAGTAAGAGTCATTCTGCTGTGTTCAGGGTAATGACATCTCAAATACACCACTTTCCCAATTAAAACAATTATCCTGTGATAGACAAAAGAAGTCCATAAACTTTAGCCCTCATTAAGCTATTGCAAACGGGAGATAAAAATTCTAGTCTAAACCCAATATCTTTCTAAGTTGTTTACAGATTTGTCACAAAATACAAAATATTAAGAAAGTCTTCCAGTTTAATATAATCCTACTATGAGGTAAAAACATGTTGGGTGCTTATTTCACTTTCATGAGTCAGTGTTAGCTATAGCATACTTTAGATAAGCAATGAACGGAAGGCTATTTCACAAACTAACCAATCCCCAAGCCCTGTCTTGAGGGCCTAAGAAGTAATGTCTTAAGAAACAAGTGTCACATATAATATATAACACATTTCCAAATGTTCTTGAAAAATACCACATCAGGATGCCCAGCTGCCTAGCACAAGCTTTCAATCAAGAGGTGAAAGTAGAAAGAAATAGTCCTCTGACTCACAGGCTAGGCCCTGGGGCACCCACAGGTCTCAGATCTACAGGGTGCAGGTGAATGTTCTGGGACGATGGTGGGTTTCCACTGTCATGAAGTTCTATGAAAATCATGTGAGGATAAAATTTTTTATGCTAGATCTTAGATCAGGGCAAAAATCACAATTTAAAGCAAAATGCTGTATTCAGATAATTTAAAGTATATGACTTTGAATTAAAATACATTAACAAATTTCCAGAAAAAAAACCCATACAAAAAGTGGGAGGCGGGTGCCTGTCGCAGAGATGATTTCTGACAGATTAAAAGCAGATGGTTTTGTAAACTTAATCCTCCCAGCGGGAAAGCCTCCTGGCTCATTAACGGGAAAAGATTGCATCACTAAAGTAACTGAAAGGCTTTAGGACCTACCTTGAATAACAAGCTTCTACAAGCTTCTTAGAGCCTCCATCCCTCTACGCAGGGGAGGGCCAGGGAAGAACATGAGTCAGTAACCACCCAAGGATGCAAACTGTACTAGGCCCCAGCTTGGGGTGAAAAGAATCCATAAAACCCTTAGGCCAACGACTCCCACATTCCCTGCTACTCCTTTTAGACCAAAGAAGAGAATTTAATAATCCACCCCCCCAACCCCGCCCCAAACAAGAGACTAACTAACGAGAGTAACTATTGGATTGTTGGAAAAGTCATGACGCATTTTTGCAATGAAAAACAGAAAATATACATCATGGCTTTTCCAACAACAAAACAGAATTCTAACAGGGTTTTCTTTTTTTCCTAGAAAATGTTAACCTCTCTCTAGAATTCTCAGTTTTATATACATTAGTTTTTTTAGACATAGGTTTTGGTCAAGAATTTGCAAGTGCGTGAATAACAACACAGACATCTACTGTTTACTGACTACTGGACTGGTCCTTTATGAATATAGCTATAACTTCTATAAAACAGCAACTTAAATACTGTAATTCTTATTTTTATGGAGGAAGGAATGAGATCTGAGAGGTTAAGAAAGTATGTAGCTAGAGGAAAGGCTGAAAAACAATCTTCTCACTTCACAGCCTGCACAGACTCTCCTATTTCTAACTGTGTCCACAGTAGAAATTATCAACTACTTCTGAAATCCCTGTTCACTGTTTTTCTTTTTCGGTGCTTTCTTATTTAAGTGACCCAGAATATCTGTATGCAATCAAGACAGATAGGGGAAGCAACATTGTCAGAGAAAAGACTGGGAAAAACGGGAAGGTGAAGGCCAAGGGCAATGCTGTAACTTTAAGGAGACCAAAAGTGCTGATCTCTTAGGACAGTCCTGGGCTATGCCTCGTACTTACCTAATTATTGAGCCCTCTTTTGCTTTCAAGTGTGTCCCAATTTGGATGATAAATTATATGCTGATCCTTTGTAACAGCGTTTAACATTTATAAAGTGCTTGCTTCGACTCTAACCCTTTATAGGCATTATCTCATTTAATGCTCACAAGGCTAGAAAGTGACAGAGGCCCTGGTATCACCCCCATTTGTTCTTCAGAAAACAGCTTTGGCGCTCTTAAATGGGGGAGCCATAATCCACACTTGTGTGTCTCACTCGGCACTCTATTTCTTTCTTTTTTTTTTTTTTAAAGATTTTATTGGGGAATTGGGGGAGAACAGTGTTGGGGAATCGGGGGAAGGGGAACAGACAGGTTGCTGTCATTTTTTTTTTTTAGCTGAGCTATCCTGCCACCTGTTGGCAGCTCAGCGGCAGCTCAGCTCGGGCTGGGACTCGAACAGCTGCTGCTCACAGCTCACACTCTTGAGTGAGCTCTTAACCAACTGAGCCACTCAGCCGGTCCCCAGGTTGCTGTCCTTTTGTTCTTCAGTCTGGTTGTGGAGGATGTGACTTCACTGGCTCATGTTGGTATTGTGATCATTGCGCTCTTCTGGTAAAAATCACCAAAACCCCCAGAACCAGTGCCAGCCACTGGACGGCCGCTTATGGCGGCTCATGCCAGCTGCTGGCTGCTCTCGCTGGCTGTCAGCCACACATGGTAGCCCATGGCAACCCACTGCAGCAGGGGCTGCAGCCTACGCTGTTGCCGGGGACTCGGCAGCCCAACTCCAGGTTGAGCTGTTATTCACCATCTTAGCTGTAGAGGGCAGTGTCACTGGCCCTCATGTGGGATCGGAACCAGGGCCCTGCTGCTCAGAGCTGGCATCCCAAGTCAACTCTTAACCAACGCGCCACTCAGCCGGCCCGGCACTCTATTTCTTTAACTATCTCATGATACTGGCTACAGTCTGAAGACCACTGATATAAACTATTTTCATGAAGGGTAAGATAAATTACACATTCATTCTGTATTGAAAACTGCTACTTCTCACTTGCTATGATGAATACTACCATTAATCTTAATTACTATAGAAAACAGCATGGAGGTTCCTCAAAAAAGTTGAAAACAGGACTACCATATTATCCAGCAATTCCACTTCTGGGAACATATGCAAAGGAAACAAAATTACTGTCTTGAAAAGATATGTGTACCCCTATGTTCACTGCAGCATTATTTACAATAGCCAAGGCATGGAAATAACCTAAGTGTCCATCAGTGGAGGAATGGCTAAAGAAAATGTGGTATACACACAGACACATACACACACACACGCACCATGAAATATTCAGCCATTAAAAAAAAGGAAACTCTGCCATTTGCAACATGGATGGACCTTGAGGGCATTATGCCAAGTGAAATAAGTCAGAGAAAGACAAATACTGTATGATTTCATTTGTATATGGAATCTAAAAAATACTGAACTCATAGATACAGAGAACAGATTGGTGGTTGCCAGAGTGGGTGGGGGAAGGGAATGGGTGAAGGTGGTCAAAAGGTAAAAAATTCTAGTTATAAGAAAAATAAGAAAAAAAGAAAGCAGAGAAAGCATCTAGCATTTTCTGTCTATTCATCCATTAATAAGCAGAAGCATGCTCAATATGATATAGCAAAACAATTAATTAATTGCCTTAATGCTACAGGTTGATCTAAAATAGTTCCACAATGGGCCAGCCGAGTGGCACGTTGGTTAGGAGTTGGCTTGGGATTGTGAGCTGAGCAGCAGGACTGGCGGTTCAGACCCCATGAGGGCAAGTGACACTGCGCCCTCTACAGCTAAGATGGTGAACAACAGTTCAACTTGGAGCTGGGTTGCCGTGAGTCGCCGGCGACGGCTGCAGTGAGGCTGCAGGGGGCTGCTGTAAGCTACCCTGAGTTGCAGTAAGCTACCGTGAGTGGCTGGCAGCCGGCATGAGCTGCCATGAGCCGCTGTGAGCGGCCGTCCAGTGGCCGGCGACCAATCTGCCTCACCTGGGAAGAGTGCAATGATAATACCAACATGAGCCAGTGAAGTGATGTCCTTCACAACTAGACTGAAGAACAAGAGGACAGCAACTTGTCTGTTCCCCTTCCCCGATTCCCCAACAAAATCTTTAAAAAACAAAATATTTCCACAATAAACTATGATAGTGAATCACCGCGAACCTATCTTGTGCCAGACCCTCACTGATGGTCACCCTTACTGCAGTTACCTGCCACTTAGTTATACCACATGCACATCCAATACGTGCACAACCTGGCTTGGGTCCAAGCACCACTCTGCAGGTAGCAGGCAGCACAGTGCCAGGCACGAGACTGGGGGACAGAAAGGGGGTGATGGAGCACACACTAGCACAGGACAGCATTCCACATCTAAGAGGTGTTTCACATGCCCCAAGGAAGTCAGCCTTTGGGGAGTCATATAATGGAGTTCACCCTTCTTCATTTTGCAAAACAGAAGGTTGACCTGCAATCTTCCCCTGGTTCTGCACTCACTTGTCACTGGAGATGCTGCAGTCTATGACTGTTTTCCTGCTTGTATTGATGATTATAAATGGCAGCTGAATGGTGGAGTTCAGAGCTGGAGGGCCCTGGTTCTGCTGTTCATTTTGCCGGTTTCTCTGTACCAGGTTTTTGAAAGCGATTTGCTGTAATGATCAATAAAAAGAATATGCTCATTTAATGTGGATAAGTGAGTTGGAATTAAATGAATAAAGATAAGTACATTTAAAATATAGTTTAAAATTAGAGAGTTTAAAGAGGCCTTCCACCTATCAGTGAATTAAAGATGTAAGAAAAAAGATTAGAATAAACATATTTCGAGGGGAAAATGTACATTTAAATGGTGTCTAACATCATCCTTATGTAATAATGGGAATCATGGTTTCCATCATCCATAGAAATAGGATCTTCTAATTTTGAGAGAAAGCCCAGTGGCTCCTGCGACTCTCCTTAGAGTGAGTGATACAGTGAACGTGACACCATGTGAACTTCTGTTTTCCATTTATCTAACACAGGCTCCCAAGAGTTTAGGGTTAAATACATCTTTTAGACTGCCTAGCCCGATGATATCCAAACCTTATAAAGCCACAGAACCCTTCCTCCAAATGAAACCGTATGGGACACCCACTACATAACACAGACGAAAGCAGTGTCGCTCTGGTGGGCCGCAGTGGGGTGAGCTGTCCTGAGCCTTGTCAGCCCTGCCCCTACTCACCCCCTTAGGTTCCTCCACACAATTTCTAAGCGTCCTTAGGGCACAGCTTGGAATCTGGCCCAACCCTCTCCCCACCTGACATCTTTCAGATGAGGAAACTGAGGCTTAGCGCTGCTAAAGATATATCAAGGCCTGAATATTTACCCTGAATCTTGCTGCTACCTTGAGTTATAAACATTACTTAAAAGTCAAAGAAAGTGATCCCCCCTTTTTAATAAAGCAAACGTATCATAGAATTCCATCCCTACAAAGACCTTGACACAGTTCAAGTGTTTCATTTGCTCACGAAACAGATCCTGGTTTTCAAAAGCTTCTAACGTCAGAGCCGTTCATCCCCCTTCATCAGCTGGTTCCATCTCTTCTCCCCCAGTAGTGATGAATTTAAGTTATTTTCTGTGTTTCAGTAATCTTATCCTAGGATTCTTTATTCTAGGTTCTTGGTCTTTACTAAAGTCTGATTAAGATTATTATCTTAAAATAGCTAGGTGCTATCTCCCTGGAAAGTGAATATTGACTTTTAGAATGCACAAAAATGCATAAAATGCACCAATTTATTCTATCCCTAACAGTGAGCCAAAAAAATCACTATCAGAAAACAATCACTATCAATACCCATTATCAAACATTATTTAAGTCATACTTCTTCATTATCTTCTGGGCTAAAGCACTAGGTTACTTTATATATATTTATTCCTTAATTCATTTAATATGGAGGGAAAATATGCTGGAACCATAAAGCTGAGAAAAAGGCTTAGATGTTTCAATACTTCTGCCCAGCCTCTCTTCCCTTCTACTAGAAAAAGCATCTTCAGAGACTCTCCCATCCTTGGACTAGTCTTGTGGCCCTCGTGCCATGAGAGGGCCTTGGTAGAGTGGGGAATATAAACAGTGACAAGCCAGGGTTCTTTTATGTTTATGATTCACTGCTCAGTACTGCGTATGATTTAATAGCATCAAAGATTTTTCAGGGGAAGAGAGCAATAAAAACATATTTTATTATTTTGATAGTAAAAAGAAAAATCATCTCCTATTTGTTTTGGACTGATTTCCTTACTTGGTGCCCTTTGATTGATTACCTTCAGCCTTTTGTTCTTTCCAGGCTCCCTGATATCTATTTTAGAGGCTGAACAGCTTTTGGTGCGTTCAGGCATCCATTTTCCTAGGCATTTGCAGCTCTGGAAAAGGTTCAAGGGCTGAAGGGACAGTTATATAGATACAAGCAGGATACTTGGATTATCTAGAGTTATGTGCTCACACCATTACTCTTCTACAGTATCAAGGATAAAAGCGAGGTGGTGGCCTGTAAGTAAAACTTACTTGTGCCATGTGATGTCAGTGAGTTGTGATATTACCGTTAAAAACATTAAGCTAGCTCAGTCATGGCAAATTATTAGTGTTCAGGGAAAACTTGTTTAATTTACTTTCTATGACAACTTTTTGTTATTTGATGAAAGAAAGAAAAATGAAACATTAGGAGGAAATAAGCTATGTCTACCAGAGGAGCAGAAGTATTTGTTTTCAATTATACTTTGGGTTTCATTTCAATATGTAGAGACCTGCTTTTATAAATGTTGATAGCTAGGTTGCCCCAGCTTGAAATCTATTGATATTTGGTTTGAGAGGAAAAGAAATCTAGGACTTAGAAAAAAGTGTTACAAAGAACAATGTTAATCATACAAAGATAAACAGGGGGCAAAAATATTCAACTTAATTCTTTGTGCTGGCCACCCAAAGATGAGAAAGTCTCTCATATATACATATATGGACCATCTTGTCCCGTACCATTCTTTTTGATAAACAGATAATTACAGGCATCCTGAGAAACAGATTTTTTAAATAACATATACCAAAAATCAAGCTCCAGAATGTTCCATGACACTTCTGAGGAAATCTGAGGAAGGCCCAGCATAGGATTTCGGGACCATGAGTCGACAGGGAAATACTGCAGCTAACTGTGCAAGGACAGGGACAAGGGAGAGGCAGCTAGGGGTAGAAGGTGACAGTGTAGGAATTCGAGGCCAGTGCCTGGCAGGCCAGGTCTACAAGAAGGCAGGATTCTACAGGGAGGAGCTGTGAGGATAAACTGTCAGCTTTTAAGGCCCTTTTAAAGCTGCAGAACACTCTCTTCAAACAAAACCTTATTTGGAAATCTTGTGAAAAATACACAAAATGCCTCCTCCAGCGGTAGCTCCTCAGGTAGGTCTCATAGGGTTCACTGTGAAAAGCAGACACAGAACACAGAAAAGAAAGGAAGGAAGAGAGGAAGGAAAGAAAGGAAGAATAAAGAGGGACGGAGGGAGGGAGGGAAAGAGGGAGAGACGGAGGCAGAAAGAAAAAGAAAGGGCCTAATCAGGATGGAACACCATCTCTGGGCCTTCCTAAGTTTGGAAAGTCTCTGAATCTAACCTGCTGCCAGCCAGCCCTGTGCCCAGGCCCTACTTCCTTCTCAGATCAGACACAAAGCTCTGGAAAGGCTAAACGGTCTTTTGCCTCTCTGATTTATACATGAATGTGAAAGAAAAACAGAAAACAAATATAAACTAGAAAGTGAAAAACAAACATCTGGAATATTTAAGAATGCTTAACACATTCTATATTCTGTCCATTAGACAAAGTGAGTATTTTTAAAAACCTGCCACAATATTTGGTAACTTACTGCTATCTTTATTTCTGAAAAGTGGATTATACCAAAAATTAAATGACCTATAGTTGTTCAAATCAAAGCTGATTTTATGATTGGCTGAAAGCTTTTCAAATAAAGACAACTTACTGATAAAAAAGCAAAAGCATAGAAACTTTCTGGCTCATTTTACAAAGTTTTTTGATTGGATTGAAAACGGCCCTACTGTTCGGCTCAAAGTGAATTTTTACACCAACTACAACTACCAAAAGTAGAAAAAGAAAGGTACACCTACCCTGTGATTTTACCTTACATAATTTTATACAAAGGCTCTATTATATTATTAAAAATCATCCAAATTCTAGGCCATTATTGAAAAAAGTACAAATATAAACAAATTTTACACTGTAAAATTTAATTTTCTTTTAAATAGAAATGCATTTTAAGGTCTGCTATTTCTACAAAGCTTATTGAATCATTTCATGTTATTCTGTTATTTATAGGTAAGAATTATAGGATTTGATTATTTTATTTAATGTGCCTAAAATGTAACTAGCCTTACTTCTTGATATTCCAAACTAGAGCTAAAATAGACTTCTAATCATTTCTGTTCAGAGTAAGGCTAAGTGCCAAAAGCACACTGTTGCCCAATACAAGACACACACAGGGCAGATGAGCCGCTGTGGGGCCCTGATGATGGTGAGAGATGGAACCATCTTACAGGCAGATCACGTGGATGGCAATGGGCTCGGCTGTGTGCTCGGCTGCCCTACTGTGGTCTCACCAGACACTACGCAAAGGCACCCAAAGCAGAAAAAGCTAACTCGAAAAGCAAGTAATCAGAGAAGCAGAATACAGGTAGGGGAGGTAATGAAAACATTCCAGCATCTTTACCTGCAGGAGCAGTTCTTGCAGCTGGGCCCGCTTCTGCTTTATCCGTTCTATCCGCCTCTGCTTCTCTATCTTTAAAACATAGGTTACAAAATAACATGAACAGATGAAGAGCATAAAATACTACTCACTTTCAGGTCCCAATTCTGAGATATCAAGAGTTCTCTTTAGAGAAACGCAACCCATTTTAACTCCCAACATCAATAAAGGCAAATCGCACCTCTTCAGGCGGCAGGTTGTGGTAAGCAGCAGGCAAGACAGCAGAACTGCGGTAACTGTTGTCAGTAATGAAATCCATCTGCTTAATGAGTACTTGGTATGTAGTACTCAGTGCTATTTATTACTCAGGTTCTAACAGAGCAATAGCTAAAACTTAGTGAACACTTACTCTCAACTCAGTACTTTACACCCATTATCTTAATCCATCTTCACAAAGCCCTATGTATGAGGTAAGTACTTATCCATTTTGCATATAAGGAAATGGAGGCATAGAGTGGTTAAGTAACAACCCAAGGTCACACAGCTAGTGTGTGGCAAGAACCTAAGCCATCTGGTTCCAGAGACCCGATTATTACTTTGCTATATTAACCAACCCCCTCTCCCCACAGCCCTCCAAAATGAAGTAAGATCTCAGTTTAACTGACTTTTTACTTTAAATTTCATTCATTCATTCAATTTATTTGCTTTTCTTTTTCCTGTTAGAACCATATGGCTGATTGCTAGGTCAAAGAATACAAACAGGATTTGGGGCTTCTCAGACAAAGTCCTCTCAAAAAAGTTTTACCTGGGCCGGCCGAGTGGCGCAATCCTTAAGAACTGGCTTGGGACGCCAGAGGACCCCGGTTCGGATCCCACATATGAGGGCCAGTGACACTGCCCTCTACAGCTAAGATGCTGAACAACAGCTCAACCTGGAGCTGGGCTGCCCTGAGTCCCTGGCGACGGCGTAGGCTGCAGCCCCTATGGCAGTGGGTTGCCATGGGCTACCGTATGTAGCCAGCAGCCAGCGTGAGCGGCCGTCCAGAAGCTGGCGACTGATCGGCCTCGCCCGGGAAGAGCGCAATGATGGTGCCAACTTGGGCCAACTTGGGCCAACTTGGAGTGAAGCAACGTTCTCCACAACTAGACTGAAGAACAAAACGACAGCAACTTGTCTGTTCCCCTTCCCCCAATTCCCCAGTGCTGTTCCCATCCCCCCAATTCCCCAGTGCTGTTCCCATCCCCCCAATTCCCCAATAAAAATCTTAAAAAAAAAAAAAATCTTAAAAAAAAAAGTTTTACCAATTTGCTCTCACTAGTAACAATCTTAAACTATCACCAATTACTAGATATGATTGAAAAAAGATAATTACCAGTTGGACAGGTGAAAAATTCAACTCACCTACACAGCCTCACCAGACAGTCTCCTCCGCACGCCTAAAACCTTGCCTTCCACTACTCCCAGTACATCCTGCTAAGACTATGACCTCAGTCCTTCCTCTTCGTCATTCTGCAGCAATGTCAACCCTCCCCCACGCCCCAGGAAGAGCTGGTCCCCATCAGCAAAACCTTTCCCAGTAGCCCAGTCAGTACTAACGCTCCCCTTCCAGGTGGTGCGCTCCCCTTCCAGGTGGTGCGTAGGACCTTGTAATGGCCCTGATCATATGGAAATTAACCTCTAATCCTACACTACCTTGTATCACTGCCTGTGTCACATGTGTAAACATCATTTCCGTGATAAGAGAAATTAAACCATGCCACATTTCTCTTTCCCTTTCTTCCTTTTCTTCTTTATTTTATTTTTGAGGTAAAATTGGTATATTTTAGCTGACTTGTAAATGGGTATGGCTGCTAATACAGCCACCTTACATATGCAATATACAATTTCTATCTGTAGTAAGAAACATGCTTATGGGACAAATTTCCCAGCTTTGAACAACTATTATTTTCCTCACTCTTACAACTACCTAGAAAACCGGAATTAGGGCCTGAATTTCCTTGTAAATGAACTCCTCACTGTGTCTTTGGGCAAAAGTCAGTGACATCAAATAAGACATTTTTCTTGTTACTCCCAGAGTATTTTTTATTTGCTTCCCATCTGCTCTAGTCTACACCAGGAGTTTCCTCTCATTGTTCCTCTAACCACTACACTTGAACCCTAAATTACTTAAGACTGACTGCAAAATCCATGTGGCCTTCTATATTTGCAAAGGTGTGGTGGGAGTTGCACCCTGCATCTGAAGCTGTGACAGGCCAGACCCCTACCTGCCCCTCATGCTCCACACCCAACCACACGGCCACTGCTTTAACTGAGGCCATCTCCCGTCCATCCCCTCAATTTTCCTCCTCATCCTCCTGTCAGTTCAACTTCCAATCCACTAGTAGAGTGTGACCATGCAGGACACAGCCTATCAGCACTCCCATTTATAATTCTTCAACAGCTTTCCCCTTGTTTATAGGACCAGGCCCCCACTGCACAGCACACAGAAGTCTATCTCCTCACTCCTTGCAGTGGTCTGGCCACGCCCAGCTGTGGGGTGCTTTCTAATGCCTGACTCAGCTGATAAAGGGCCTCTGACTGGAAGGCCCTCCCTAACCCTAAACCACTTGGCAAACTTGAGTCCTCCCCTCCCTCAAGACTGAGCTCACAGATGGCTTTTTCTTGGTAAAGCCCTCCTTTCCCAGATAATCTCTACATACTTTTTTCATAGTAGTAATCACATTTTTGGTAACTCCTTTTACATTTCTCCTCTCCTTAATTAGAATGAGAGCTCCTTGGGGTCAGAGATTTTATTTTGTCTTGTATAATCTTTGGTTAAGCGCATAATAGATGCTAATAGATTTTTGCTTACTGAGTCTTTGTTATCAACCTAATATTACTGGTAATTAAAATGATCCTCAAATTTCACTATCAGAAGGTGAAAAAGAGGACATTTCCAACGCAGCATATGAATAACATTATTCTGTAACTTCTGATGAATGTCTGGTTCCTCCCTCCATCCACAAGTATAATGAGACTAAATATTTTTTGATTTCCTGGGGGTAGAAAGTGACTGAGAAAAACATGAAATCAACCATATTTATTTCCATAAACTATATTTAATCTCAGTTTATTTCTTTTATGGCCATCACAGTAAAATTGCGTCAAACCAACTTGGAAACAGTATGTCAGGGCACATGTTTATTTAGGAAAGATTTTCTATAATGATTAAAGTTAACAGAATAAAAAAAATATTTTTGCACACATCATCCCCCAATTCATATAACGTTGAACATTCTATCCATTCTGATAAAGATACAAATGAAATAGTACCCTGTTCCCACTGATTCTAGAGTCAAAGGTAAAAGTTTAAACACAAGATCATTTTTTTGGGGTCCACACAGCAAGCATCACATCAAATAATATATTATTTCTATTACATTAATCACTAAAACTTTATCCTTAGAGTGCTCAGAATTAAATTAGGATAAAGATCTTCTCTAAGAAACAGTAAAATTCACGTCATTTAATTTCTATGTTCCTCACTTTCATCAGGACATTAGTGAGGCTATTACCTCTCTAATGTTCCTTCCAGCTCTAAAATTCTACATAGAAGAGTCTTAAAAACAAATGGCATAGCATACATGAAGAATTAGGAATATTTTAATATTATGTGACTATATTTCTAAATTAAAATGCCTCTGATGTAAAATAAAGCAAACTCCTATCTATGAACACATTTTCCTCACTTACCTCCAGGTTCTGACATTCCTGAGCAGAATTGGTAGGCAGGCCAATCCACTTGATTTCTTTTTTTTCCTTTGAAATTATGTTCATTGCCATTAGCACATTTAAAGCATCATAAACTCTTCGCCTAATGTTCTTCTGGTCATAAGCCTGCTACAAAATATTTTTATTAAGTGGTAAATTTTAAGAGTTAAGATATATTCACAAGATACTAAAATATTTAATTAATAATATTATATCTTCAAAGTGCTGAAAGAATTTTATACCCAGTGAAACTATCCTTCAAATGTAAAGATGAAATAAAGATACTTTCAAACAATCTAAAACATACAACAATCTAAAAAATAAAGATTATGTTACCAACAGATCTAAATTTTAAAAATACTAAATGTCCTTCTTCAAGGAGAAGAAACATGATTTAAGATGAGAGCTTGGAAGGCAACTATGCAGAATAATCTCAATTAATACTCACTGTATAAAACAATAATGTCTTGTGGAGTCTAGAATATATATAGAACTAATATACATGACAACAGTAGTGCATATATATATAAATATAGCAGGAAGGGGTAATGGAGTTAAAGTGGGCTAAGGCTTTGCATTGTCTGGGAGGATATTAGACTTTGAAAAGTCAAGGATGCATGTTTTAAGCTCTAGGTAAACAGTGCGTCTCAAAATGTGGTTCATGGACTAGTGCTGATCCAAAAACTATTACTAGTTTACAATGAAAACAGGGAACTTGCACCAAAATGTCATCATAGCGATCACTAAAGCACACAGCTTAATTCAGCTGATTCTTCTTCTTCTTCTTTTTTTTTTTTGTAGCAAGACTTTCTCACTGAAGGAAACAGTGTAAACTTACATTGTGGAAAAAGCTCTTTGTCTTATTGTGGATGGGAAGTTCCTAAGAACAAAATCCAATCTATCAAATGCCATGATAAAAAGAGTGTCAAAGAACACTAAATCCATTTAACTGTAAAACTAAACTTAAATAAATGGGAGAGTAAGTTATGGAACTGAATGTAAATATTAGAAATCCTGATGCTATAGAAATGATAATGTAACAACAAATATCAAGAGGAGGTAACAAAGGAGGCCTGCTGATTTCCTCCTCTTTGATAATGGAAGGGATACGGATTCAAAGCAAACAAAATATTGAAAGCAGATGAACTAAGTAATAATAGAGCTTTTGGCACAATATACAGAGGGTGTCAAAAAAATGTATACACATTTTAAGAAAGAAAAAACTGTATTAAAATTGTAATACTCAATATATACTGATAACAAAAGATGAAGTCATGTGTATACATTTTTTTGGCACCCACGGTATTTATTTAAAGTCATAAAAACAACTATAATAATATTCTTTTAACAACCACCACTTATATATTCAATCTGAATCCTGTGATAGAGAGGCAAGATGAGAGATGGGAGTAAATATAACATATTAATTTCTTTTTTCCTCTATAATCAACAGATAGTGGTCTACAGGTGACAACTCAAGAAATAAAATATTGAAGTTAAAGTTATAAACAGTGAAAGAACTACAGACTATAAACCTTCCAAATTATCAGAAAAATAACAGCAGTGAGTAGACAGGAAAAAAAACCTAACTTTTGTTTATATCCAGGGGTTAGGGTAGAAAGGTTTAGTAAAAATATATGTTAGATGTTGAAAAGTGCATTGAAGAAATGCCTTATTGTTGAGACATTTGAATGAAAATTAGATGGAGGGGAGAAACCACAAGGCTCCCTAGCAAGAGTGATCCAGGCAAAGGAAACAGCAAGTGCAGCAGTCTGATTAGGAGCATATCTGGCATATTCATGAAATGCATATAACTGAGGGAGTGCACAGCAGGAGATGAGAGCAGAGAAGTCATGGCGGGCCAGGTCTCACAGCTTCTTGCAGACCATTTTGAGAACTCTGGCTTTCACTCAGAATCAGAATGCCACCTACTTTTTTCCAAGTGCCCAAGAGAACATTAAAAGAAATTTTAAAGAAATCACCATATAATGGCTCATGAAGAAAAATCGCAAAGCAATCCAAAAAAAAAAAAAGTTTGACTCATAATCTCTGATCATAAGTAATAAAGGTAAAAATTCATAATGACAAACAAAAATCCCTATCACCTGGAACTATATTAGGTCAAACTGGAAATTAAAACCAAAGTTACAGAATATCTAAAAAATAACATTATATCAGAATCAATGGGACCCAAAGCAGTGCACAACAGGAAAAATCACAGCCATAAAGGACTTTCCTTACTGAACAAAAATAATAAAAGTAAATAAAATATACATCATAGTCTACAGGGTACGAAAATAACAAAAGTAACTTCAGGAAACAGAATATTAAATAAGGATAAAAACAAAAATTAACTGCAAAACAGGAAGTCAGTACAAACAAATCCAAGAGATGGTTCTCTGAGAAAAATAACTGTAAATAATTTTGAGAACATGGATGAATGGAGGATTTTCTGACAAAGCATAAAATACCAAACTAACTGTAAGGGAAACAGGAATTCTAAACAGACTAATGACCAAAAAAGGAAGAGAGAAAGATATCTAAGCTTTACTTTCTACCAAATCACTAGGCCCAGATGGTACCACAGGTGATTTCTATAAAATTTCAGGGAACAGAAAGAGATATCCAATGCTATTAAACCTGCAATGGAGTAAAAACAGATAAAAAGAAAGCCCCTAAATTCAGTTTATAAAGCCAGCATAACACTACTAATCGAAACTACAAAGATGGTAAAACAAACAACAACAAAAAGCAAACCAGCAGTTGTCTGGGGATAGTAGGAGGGGTAAATGGGATTACAAAAGGCTGGACGAGCCTTTTGGGAGAGATGAAAATGTTCTGTATCTTGATTACAGCGGGGATTCCGCAGGTTCACACAACTGTCAAAACATCAAATTTGGGCCGGCCAAGTGGCTAAGTTGGTTAAGAGCGGTTCGATTCCTGGCCCGAGCAGAGCAGCAGCTGAGCTGCCAACACATGGCAGGATGGCTCAGCTTAAAACAGCAACAACAAAAACCATCAAATTTTACACTTGAAATAAATACATCTTTTCTTTTTTTTTTAAGTTGCAGAAAAGGACAGTTTATTAGAAGAAAAAAATACATTTCAAAGAAGCAGAAGTGGCCCGAGCAATAGAGAATGGCTCAAGGACCATTATTACAATAGAAGAGAAAGTACACTCCAGAGTTTGGAGCAGCCGAGCAAAAGAAGGAGCTCTAAAGGCCATAATACATCTTGTAGTATGTAAACCATTCCACAGCAAATAAGGAAAAAAAAAATTTAATTGTGCACTTAGGACATGTACATTTCCCTCCCTGTAATTTTATCTCTATTGAAAAACCATGGATGATTTTTATGTGCTAATAAAGAATGTCCACGATATACTGTAAAGAAAATAAAATTAAGAATGCAGCCATGCAAAGCACAATCACATTTGTGTTTTTTAAAAAAAGAAAATCAAATTTATTATGTGTATGCATAAAGAATTCCTGGAATTATACTTAAGAATCTGATAATAGTGAATATTGCCTTTGGGGAATTAGGTAGGGTCTGTTGTAGAAGAGGAACATTTTATCTTTTGGTATAACTGAATTTTTTATAAACACATTCATGTATTATTTGTTTCAATAAAGAACAAGATAAAATTTCCTTATTGACTTAGATATAGAAGAAACACTAAAAGATTCAGAAATATATACAAAGTCATTCACATATAAAAAGCATGTTAAAAAAAGTATGTTCCTTCGGTAACCCGAAAATTGTTTTAAAAATTACTTGATCATCTATATGTTGAAATAAATGATAAATCCTTTGCAAAACAAAACAAAACAAAACAAAACAAAACAAAACAACAACAAAATTTCCCAACAAACACTATGAAACCCTCAAGTAAAGGAGTTGGGGATTCCTAGCTTCTGAGTCTTTAAATCACCAACACAGAAAACCCAAAGAGGTACACTGTTGCATCACTCATCAGAGTCAATGTCAAGTGCATGATCTACCTACCGAATCAGCTGCCAAATGATTATTTGAATTGGTGAACTCTGACACCAGCTCATCAGCTACTTCATTATATGATGTTGTACCTTTCCGCTGAACTTTCTCACACACTTTCATTGAAAAATGTCTCAAGCCTTTTCCATTTTTATCTCCTTTTTTGCTTCGTTTACTAAAAGAGAAAAAAAATGTTTATTCTCTATTATACTTACTTAGAGACTTCTTTTACAAAACTATAAAATACTGTGCAATGATAGTAATGTGATTTTTACTTCAAGTGGTAGATTTTAATTAGAGATGAGGAAATGTTTTAAACTTAATTTTTATCTTAAAGGCCTAATTAAGTATGAAGCTACAGTGTTTTCTTATGCATATCATTCATTTATTCAACAAATATTTACTGACCAGTTACTTTTATATGCCAGCCACTGTTCTACACACTGGGAATAAATTCATGACAAGAACAAAAACTCTGCCCTGGTCAAGTTTATATACTGGTCAATACTTATCTTTTTGTATTCTATGTATACTACAGTTCTTTTTCACCTAAATTTATCTATTCAATTTTGAAACAGAAGTTATCAGTACGTATTGATAATGATCTAAGTCTTCAATTATTTTAAGTTTGGTTAATGCCTAGACCTCAACTTTGATAATCATTAAAATTTTCAGGGGTTCAGTTTAGTTCTATTAATATTTGAGTCCCAACTGTATGCCAAGAAATGTATTAGTGATTTGCAGTATAAAAATGATAACTGAAGCAAAATCCTTTCTCTCAGTATGAGTCTTGGGGGATGGGAGAGAGACAAAACAGACATATAATACAAATAATCCCAATATAATAAGTAAGTACCAAGTTGGAGTTATTCACAATATTCATGGGAATTGGGCAGAGGGACATCTAGCCCAAGCTAGAGGTTGAAGACTTGCTGGGGCAAGAGTCACAGTCAAGTAAAAACAATCAACAAAATGAAAAGGAAATGTAATGGGAGAAAATATTTGCAAACCATTTATTTTATCTGATAAAGGGTTAATATCCAAAATATCTAAGAAATTCCTACAATTCAATAGCAAAACCAAAACCAAAAAAACAAAACAAAAAGCCCAAAGAACCCAATTAAAAAATGGGCAAAGGACACAAATAGATATTTCTCTAAAGAAAACATACAAATGGCCAATAGGCACAAGAATAGATGCTCAATATCACTAATTCAGCAGGGAAATGCAAATCAAAGCTATAATGAGGTATTACCTCACAACTGTTAGGATGAATATTATTTAAAAAAACAAAAAAAAAGGTTAAGTGTTGGTGAGGATATGGAGAAATTAGCACCCTTGTACACTATTGGTGAGAATGTAAAATGGTACAGCTGCTATGGAAAAAAGTATGGTGGCTCCTCAAAAAATTTAAAATAAAATAATCCAGCAATCCCACTTCTGGGTGCATATCCAAGATTGAAATCAGGGTCTCAAAGAGATATCTGCACTCCCATGTTTATTACAGCATTATTCATAACAGCCAAGAGATATGGAAACAACCTAAATGTCCACAGGTGGATAAATGGATAAAGAAAATGTGGTATATATACACAGTGGAATGCTATTCAGCCTTAAAAAAAGAATCAAGGTCCGGCTGAGTGGCGTGTTGGTTAAGAGCTGGCTTGGGAGCACCAGCTCTGAGCAGCAGGGCCCTGTTCGGATCCCACATGAGGGCCAATGATGCTGCGCCCTCTACAGCTAAGATGCTGAACAACAGCTCGACCTGGAGCTGGGCTGCTGTGAGTTGCTGGCGACGGTGTAGGCTGCAGTGGGGGGGCAGTGGGTTGCCATGGGCTACCGTGTGTAGCCAGCAGTCAGCGTGAGCGGCCAGCAGCCGCAGTGAGCGGCTGTCCAGAAGCCGGCGACTGATCTGCCTCACCCGGGAAGAGCACAATGATGGTGCCA